CACTCCAACACACAAGATGGCTGCCCCCATGTGGTCAAAGATGCCACCCCCATGTGAACACAAGATGGCCAGCATGGGAGGGCAGTTGTGGGTGATCAGGCCAGCAGGGGAGGGGAGTTGGGAGAGACCAGGCCTGCAGGGGAGGGCAGTTCGGGGTGGCCTGGCCAGCAGAGGAGGGCAGTTGGTGGCAACGAGGCCTGCAGGGGGAGGCAGTTGTTGGGGACCAGCCATGTAGGGGAGGATAGTCGAGGGGCTGGGGACCAGGCCTGCACGAGAGGGCAATTGGGGGGGCGATCCAGTAGATAAGGCCTGTATGAGAGGGCAATTGGGAATGATCTGACGGGTAAGGGAGAGCAGTTGGGGGTGATTGGGCCAGCAGGGGAGCAGTTAGGTGCCAAGCAGGCTGGCAGGGGAGTGGTTAGAGGATGATCAGGCTGACAGGCAGGCAAGCAGTTGGGAGCCAGCAGTCCCAGATTGTGAGATGTCGGGCAGTTGGATATCCCCTGAGTGGTCCCAGATTGGAGAGGGTGCAGGCTGGGCTGAGGGACACACTCCCCCGCAACCTCCTCAGTGCACAAATTTCATGCACTGGGCCTTTACTGCTTTTAATAATTTTGAAGGTATTATTTTCTTTCCTTCTGTCTTTTTGTTTTGGTGTTGAGAATTCTACTGTCTTTCTAATCCTTGATTCTTTAATTTTTTTTCCTATTAGCCTTTTCCTTAACCCTGGTGTCCTAAAATTTCATGATGATTAGCCTTACTGGAGATTTCATGTCATATATTTAATTCTTGGGGAAATTTTGAAATTTCTTTGATAATTTCCTCTCACTCATCTTCCCTAATCAGGGGATAGTTGCTACTCAGTGGATATTGGCCTTTCAGCAGAACATAATCTACTTTTTTTTATCACTTTTGTTTTCCTTGCATCTTTTAATCTTATTATCTTTCTGTTTTCTGGGAGTTGTTTTAAACTTTGTTTTTAAAGCTTTAGTTTTGTTTTTTTTTATAATTGCAGTAACTTTGCATATCACCTCTATAATTACAGTGTTATTTTTTCTGTTTCTTCAGTCTTTCCTTTTCAGGTTTCCTTTCTTGTATTTTGTTGTTGTTATTATTCTTTGTATCCTTCTACTCTTGTCTTGATCTCTGTCTTTCATATCAGGTTGCCAGAAGGACTGTAGGTAATGACTTCAAAAGTGATATTAGTAGCTTAGACACAAGCTCCAGCACTGTACAGCTAGGGCCAGCCAGATCTCACAAAAGCTCGAGCCTCATGTAACTCTGGGACCTACTCTGGCTTGAGAACTAAAGACAGTGCCAGCTCTAGAACTAGAGCCAGGTCTAGAACTAGCTGTAGCACTAGAGCCAACTCCAGAGATAGAAGTAATTCCTTCATTAACTAGCACCATCTGCAGTAGCACCGTTAGGGCTAGGGCCAATTCCAAAATCAGACCTAGATTGAACTTAGGAGCTAGAGCAAACTCTGCATGAGCTCCAGAGACAGAGCCAGAGCCAGCTATAGAGCTACAGCCAACTCCAATATGAGCTTTTTCATCAGTTCCAAACTTATTATCAACTCCAGCTCCAGAGCCAGTATCAGCTCCAGATCTAGCATCATCTTCATTGCCAATTCTCACACCAGATTTAGCATCAGTGCCAAGGTTAGAGTGAGCCCAGAACTAGAACCAATTCTAACACTACTATCGATATTCTGACCTGGAGCCAGCCTTGCCAGCCCCAGCTCCAGCTCCAGCACCAGAGCTTTTCCTTCACTTCCTTAGAATGACATGTTTTGTTTTTTATAGTTTTGTTTTCATATTTATTTTTGTTTGTGGTTTACTATATGTGGATTTTACAAATTCAAATATAATTTAACTTTTTAACCATTGTAAAAAGAGAATTATATTAATGATTAAAGGGTCTTGTATCTTTTTCTCTGAGCCAATGTATATAATGGATTATTTTATTTTAAATAATATTATAGTATTTTTCTTTTCTTCTTAAATTCTGGAAGATATTTTCTTGTCCCATTCAACTACTCTTTTTTTCCCCATCTTAAATATGTGAATGGTTCCCAAGAATCAGCTTGAATTTTTTTTTTTATCTTCTTTGTTTATTCTTCTTTGGAGACTTGCCTAATCCTGTGCCTTAGTCAATATTTCTATCTAAAGAATTCCAAATTCATTTTTTATATTCCATCATCATTCTAAATTCAACAAATATAAACTGAAGACATCCTTATTTTTCCCAATGTGTACCATTCTTTAGTATTTTCATAAGAATATTACTATTCCCTCTGTCATTCATGTTAAAAACTTAATAATCTTATTTAACTCACTCTTCTACTTTAACCCTTAAATCTAATTTCTCATTCAGTCCTGGCATCTCTTCTTTATGATATCTCTTAATTTTCGTTTCCCCATTCATAATTGGAGTTTATTGAGTCTCTTCTGAAAGGGCCTATAAAACAACTCCCTACTTTTCTAAAGCACTAATTTCTTGGATGTAGTGTTGCAATCATATACTTTTATTGGCTTTCTCATCATATAAGCTATATTTTTAGCTTAGCTCAGATTTAATTCTACTATTCTATGTATTAATAATAGAAGCCTAATATGTTAAGTGACCAGTCGTCCGGTTGTCCATTCAATCAATCAAAAGGTCATATGCTAATGATATGCTAAGGTCACTTAACCGCTCACTATGATTTGTACTGACCACCAGGGAGCAGACAGTCGACCAGTTGACCAGTTGCTATGATGTGCACTGACCACCAGAGGATAGACGCTCTGACCGATAGGTTAGCTTTTTGCTGGACTCCAGTCCATCAGGACTGAGTGAGAGGGACTGGATACACTTGGAGTCCTCCCTTGACCCCTACCTGGCTGGTAAACCTCCCCTATTCCTCCCTACTCTTTGACCTCTGGTGGGGTCCCTCGACCTGGCCTATGCCATTTCACAATCCAGGATCCCTCAGGAGATGTCAGAGAGTTGGTTTCATCCCGATCCCACTGGTGCAGGAATTTGTGCACTGGGCCTCTAGTTCCTCTATAAAATATTGCAGATAAGCATCTCATGGTCTGACGGTGCCTTGCACATATGTTTTGTTTGATCTGAACAGAGTTTTAAAAAACATTTTATTCTGTGATTTTTTAGACAGTATAATTTGGGGTGCATATGTAATACCTGAATGCACATTGTGAAATATCCTCTTTAAAAATTCTATTCATATTAGAAGTTTATACTGATAAAGAGCCTTGATGTACAAGCCGCATCATAGAGAAAATTGTCTATAAGAAATTGTCTGCAAGAATCTACTCTTCTGAGTGACATGATTCTTGTTACATAAAAATCAATTCTTTCTTTAAGCTAATATCACAGTACATGTCAACTATTCCTGATAAAATGGCACTTTGTGGTTTATTTGTTTGCAGTAATTATAGGCTATATAATGGTAATATGTAAAATATCTAAGAGGATGGTAGTAAGCCATTTTTTTAAGATATATTTTTATCGATTTTAGAGAGGAAGAAAGAGGGAGAGAGAGATAGAAACATCCATGATGAGAGAGAATCATGGATCAGTTGCCTCCTGCAAGTTCCCCACTGAGGATCGAGCCCACAACCTGGGCATGTACCCTTGACTGCAATCGAACCTGGGACCTTTCACTTTGCAGGCCAATGCTCTATCCACTGAGCCAAACTGGCTAGGGTGGTAATAAGTAATTTTGTTAAAATGTAGGAAAAAGTTTCCTATAATTTTTCAACAGAAATTATTTGAAAGGTTTTAATAAGCTCTGTAAAATACAATAATGATCTTATTTTGATAAACTTTAGTTAAAGATTGTTGAGGCTAAAACACTTTGCTAAAAAATACATCATTTAGGTATCTTTTTTTCTTTATAAAATAATTACTGACCCCATGCTACCACATCACTTTTCCCGAGTTGTTGATTTTCTCTTGGGGAAATGTGGGATAGCGGTTTGTTCTTTTATAATTCTTCCTAAATTTACTTAGAGCAGAGAATATTTACATACCAAACACCTACTTTTGGGGACCATATTTATTCACAGAATGTGTATAAGCTTTAGAGGAGCACGTGATCAGGAATAAAGTTAAGGGTTATCATAAAGACTGTTCTTTTTTGTGGAGCTGAATTCATAGGCAGGGAGCTGATCACTTAAGGTATGTGAGGCCAGCATTTTAATTGTTAACTCACAGAGAAAAATAAATCTATAGATGAGTGACATAAGTGACCAATAAGAACTTTTTATATGTAAAATATACTAGGGAATTATTTACTTATAGTACTATTGAAGAGGATATAGTTTTAATCCAAAAATTGTAATTTACCACCTACATTTAAAAAAGACTCCCAAAATTAAAATTACTGGGATAAACCAATAACCAAAACTTATTTAAAGCATATTCTAAATATGTCATAGGAAGAGTATAACATTTGGATATAGTTTTAATATATTTATTTTATAGGTTTTAAAATAATTTATTTACTATTAAAAGAATTTATATACATTTTATATGCTTTTCAGTTATTTGGACTACATACATAACTATAACATTTCATTTACAAACTAATCTAAATATGTTGTTTATCTTTCTAATTTTTATTTTACAACCTCATTGAAAATTTTCTACATTAGGGACTAAAATTCTATTCCAATATTTCTAACCCTTATACAATACAGCCACTAGGAATTTGGTTTGTTTTGGAAGGAAGGACACTTTGTGCTGAGAATTTGTGATCTGTACCTATGATCTCACTTTCTATTTCAGTGGGCATCAAGCCTGAAATTTAGTGGGAATTCGATAGCACCTTTTAAACTGAGTAGCACAGTAACATTTTTTAATTTTTTTTAAAGTTTTAGAAATATCATCACACATGGAAGTTATTTTAACAGCACCAACATGATCCTTAAACAAGATGTTACTTTGCTTTACATGCTCATTTTTATGACACTTGGTTTGGTTTCTCCTTTTAGGAATGGCAAAATTCTATTCAGAAGAATGCAGGACTTGCATTTATTGAACTCATCAATGAAGGAAGGTAATTAATTTTATAATTTTTATTCCACTACTCATTATATTCCACTGGGTAACTGATATTTCCTGCCATCTGGTCAAAAAATGTGTAAGAAAATATTTTAATTAAATAATTTACCAAAGAAACTTTAAAGGAACAAAATTTAAAATGTTGAAAATATTTATTCAGGCATGATCATGTATGAAATAAAGGGACAAACTTCAGAAGGTTTTTTTTGTGAGATTGGAGCCATATCTCACTAAGTAGTAAAGTTGTTTTACATAGATCAAGTGAACCCTGTCTGCAGTCCCATCTGCCACTCCATCTGGTTTCAGTGTTATGCTCCATGTGGACTCTCTCCGCCTATCTCAGCTCTTGGGAAACAGTTTTATCTGAACATGCTGTGCTCTCTGGTATCCAGCTGAAAATGTGAATGATGTTAAATATAGGAAGTATAACAGTCTGATTAGGAATTTATATATTCATTATTAAAATGATGCTATAAGTAAAGTTATGTTTCAGCCCATTATTGTATTTTCTCTTTATTATAAACAGTTGTTCACTATGATTTTCCTAAAACTTTACTGGCACAATATACATTAAGACAAATATAACTGTCATCATTTTGACATGTACAGCTTCTATCAGTTAAAGACCTGTATCCTTTGCAAGTTGAGTTTCTTCTATGATATAGTATAATCTTTGGGAAATAATAACTGCATATTTGGCATAATCTATTTATTTGTATTTCAAACCAAATTAACTTAAGTTGATAAATAATGCTTACTATTTATAAAATTTTATCAAGGGAGTGGTATTATAAAAGAATATTTTATAACATATTCCTTGAAAATTAGTTTATGTATGGTATAGAAATGCATTTTAAGAGTAACTTAAATAAGTTTAGTATTATTGCTTTTTTAAATCAAGTTTTATAGTCTAAAAAAGTTATAACGTGAATCTTAATGAATATCTCTCATTTAGATATTCCATCTTTAAATTATTTTTAGTCATAATAATGTAACTAAAATTTAAATAAATATTCTCACTGCAAAGCAAAAGATGCAACAAAATATTAGTTTTTTTAATAACATAAATAATTTTATATTACAACACACCATAGTTCTTAGAAAGCTTTATTACTGTAAGAATTGATAATAATTATTACCCATCTTCAAATGATGAAAACTAGAAAAAAAAAACTTTTCACAGGCTACTTAACTCATTGTTGTATTAGTTATAGAAACTCTCAATTCACTTTTATGCTCATTTTACTAGTTTCTTTCAACTGTGAAGTCAAAAACAAAAATTATTTTGTCATCAGTAACTCTGAAGAGTTAACAGAATTGAATTTTTAACATTTAATATTATAATATTGTCTTAGACAAAAAGAGGATGGAGAATTTGCTATTATCAGAGGTTTTTTAGCTTTTGATGTTTTATTGTTCAGTGATAGCACTTGGGGTTTACTTTGTTTTATTTTAGGAAAGAAGTTGGAATTACAGAAAGTAGTTTAATTTTGTTTAAATTTAAATCCAACTAAACCTTCAAAATGCTCACCATAATATTTTTGTGCCATTGTAGAGTATGCTTCTATTTTCATACAGATTTTTCCTCCAATAAAGATGATTTTGGAATAATAATTGAAGCATGACTAGCTATAAATATACAGATCATGTATACATTAGTACAGCAAATGTCTATTCAGTACCTCCTACATTACAAACACTATTATAAGAGCTGGGAATAGAGAAGTGAACAAGACAAACATTAAACTGGCACATACAATAATACAAGGGTGTGATTGGGGTTGTATAGTTATTAATACAAGCCTAAGGTACGGCACTTAATCTCATCTAGAAGAACGCATTATCCTAATGGTTGGGTTATCAGGGTATGATATGATAGTCTTTTCGACAAATGACGCTGTAACAACTGGACATCCATCCGCATGTGAAAAATCTAGACATGGACTTTATAACAGCACAAAAATTAACTGAAAGAGGATCACAGACATAAATATGAAATGAAAAACTATAAAACTCCTAGAAAATAACATAGGAGAAAATCTCCATGATCTTGGGTATGATGATGACTTTTTAGGTACAATACCAAAGGTATGAGCCATGAAAGAAAAAAAAGTGCTAAATTGGATTTCATTAAAATATAAAATGTTTGCTTTATGAAAGAGGATATAAAGAGAATGAGAATACAAACCAAAGACTGTGAGAAAATATTTCCACAAGATATATCTGATGAAGAGCTATTATCTTAAAATATAATATGAAGTCTTTTTTTTAAATATATTTTATTGATTTTTAACAGAGAGAAAGGGAGAGAGATAGAGAGCCAGAAAGGTCGATGAGAGAGAAACATCGACCAGCTGCCTCTTGCACACCCACTTCCGGGGATGTGCCCACAACCAAGGTACATGCCCTTGACCGGAATCGAACCCGGGACCTTTCCGTTCGCAGACAGACGCTCTATCACTGAGCCAAATCGGCTTCGGCATAACATGAAGTTTTAAAATTCAACAATAAGAATACAAACCATCTGATTTTATTTTATTTCATTTTTTTCTTTTTTCTTTTTTTTTTTACCATTTTTAACTATTTTTACTGATGAAAATATATTCAGATTTTTATAAAGTTTCAGGGAATCACAGACCTACAAAGCCTCAGATTAAATCTTCAGTAGAGTAAGAGGGTAATGGAGCTTTCAGAGTACACACTTTTTTTAAAATATATATTTTATTGATTTATTTTTTTTGCCCCCCCTCCTTCCCTCTCATACAAACCCTTCCTCTCCAGAGTTTTATGTCCATTGGTTGTACTTATATGCATGTATAAAAGTCCTTCGATTGATCTATTATCTCCCCCAGATCTTCCTCCCCTCCCCACAGTAATTTGACAGTCTGCTTGTTGCTTTACTGTCTCTATATTTATCTTTTGGTTCATCAGTTTATAATGTTCTTTATTATCCATAAATGAGTGAGGTCATGTGGTGTTTCTCTTTCATTGATTGGCTTATTTCACTCAGCATGATGTTCTCCAATTCCATCCAGGTTGCTGCAAATGATGAGAATTCCTTCTTTTTTATGGCAGCATAGTATTCCATTGTGTAGATGTACCATAGTTTTTGATCCAATCATCTGCTGACAGGCACCTAGGCTGTTTCCAAATTCTGGCTATTGTAGATTGTGCTGCTATGAACATAGGGGTGCATATATCCTTTTTGATTGCTGTTTCTAGTTTCTTGGAATATATTCCTAGAAGTGGGATTACTGGGTCAAATGGGAGTTCCATTTTCAGTTTTTTGAGGAAACTCCACACTGTTCTCCACAGTGGTTGCACCAGTCTGCATTCCCACCAGCAGTGCACGAGGGTTCCTTTTTCTCCACAACCTCGCCAATACTTGTCATTTGCTGATTTGTTGATGTTGGCCATTCTGACAGGTGTGAGATGGTACCACATTGTTATTTTGATTTGCATCTCTCAGACAATTAGTGACTTTGAGCATGTTTTCATGTGCCTTTTGGCCTTCCTTTGAAATTATTCTATTTAGGTCCATTGCCTATTTTTTAATTGGATCATTCATCTTCCTTTTATTTAGTTGTATAAGCTGTCTGTAAATGTTGGAGATTAAACCTTTAAAAGTGGTATTATTTGCAAATATGTTCTCCCACACTGTGGGCTTTCTTGTTTTGTTGATGGTTTCTTTTGCTGTAAAAAAGCGTTTTATTTTGATGTAATCCCATTTGTTTATTTTCTCTTTAGCTTCCATTGCCCTAGGAGCAGTATCAGTGAAGAAGTTCTTTTGGCATATGTCTGAGATTTTGCTGCCTGTGGATGCTTCTAGTATTTTTATGGTTTCCCATCTGATGTTTACGTCCTGTATCCATTTTGAGTTTATTTTTGTGTATGGTGTAAGTTGGTGATCTAGTTTCATTCTTTTGCATGTGTCTGTCCAATTTTCTCAACACCATTTATTGAAGAGACTGTCTTGACTCCATTATATATTCATGCCTCCTTTGTCAAATATTAATTGAGCATAGTGATTTGGGTTGATATCTGGGTTCTCAATTCGATTCCATTGATCTATATGTCTGTTCTTGTGCCAGTACCAGGCTGTTTTGAGAATAGTGGCTTTGTAATACAGTTTGAAGTCTGGTATTGAGATCCCGCCTACTTTACTCTTCTTTCTCAGGATTGCTGTGGCTATTCGGGGTCTTTTATTGTTCCAAATGAACTTTTGGAGAGTTCTTTCTAGGTCAGTGAAATATGCCGTTGGTATTTTAATGGGGAGTGCATTGAACCTATAGATTGCTTTAGGAAGCATGGACATTTTGATGATGTTGATTCTACCAATACATGAACATGGTATGTTCTTCCATCTCTTTACATCTTCCTCTCTCTCTTTTTTTCAGTGTCCTGTAGTTTTCCGCATATAGGTCCTTTACTTCCTTAGTTAAATTTATTCCTAGGTATCTTAATTTTTTTGTGTGATGGTAAATGGAATTGTTTTTTTAGTTTCTGTTTCTGTACTTTCACTGTTGGTGTATAGAAATGCCATGGATTTCTTGGCATTTATTTTGTATCCTGCTACATTGCCAAATTCATTTATTAAGTCAATTAGTTTTTTCATGGAGTCTTTTGGGGTTTTTATGTACAATATCATGTCAAATAAGGATAACTTTACTTCTTCTTTTCTAATTTGGATGCCTTTTATTTCCTCCTCTTGTCTAATTGCAATGGCTAGTACTTCCAGTACTATGTCAAACAGGAGTAGCGAGAGTGGGCATCCCTGTCTTGTTCCTGTTCTTAGAGGGAATGGTTTTAGTTTTTGCCCATTGAGTATAATGTTGGCTGTGGGTTTATTATATATAGCTTTTATTACATTGAATTATGATCCTTGTACTCCCACCTTGTTAAGAGTTTTTATCAGGAAAGGGTGTTGGATTTTATCAAGTGCTTTTTCTGTATCAATTGATATGACTATATGATTTTTATCTTTCAATTTGTTTA